TCCTCCTTTTTTATATATTTCCCCCAGAGAGTTTAATAGGGCAAGAATCAACGTGCAAAGTTCAGTAACCCATAACAGCTAATCTAAAACAATTTTACGCTAGGCTGACTACAGTCAACTGAATTGTGAGTTACTAAATCTTGCATACCATGTTGCTCTTTGATTTACCTTTTCGAAAATGGATTTTAGAGCCTTATTACACTTCAGTGGTCAGGTTGCAGTACCACAATTTCAGCTGCAGGTGGAGCTATATGTAGAAAAAATAATCTAAAGCTAAAGGTTATGTCTAAAAAAGGCACGTGTGTTATTCATTAGTTTCAAGGGACATTGCTTTTCTTTTAACTTCTGCTATTAGATAACTATAATAATATTAAAAAATATAGATTTTATTTGGATTCTCTTAATAATAAAAACAAATGTAAAAAGACTTTTAGAAAGTTAGTATTCTCATTTGTTTAGGGGGCAGCTACATTAATACCATTTAGAGGTTTAAGTAGCAAAAAGGAACAAAGTGTGATAAACACACCAATAGAGATTTTGAAATGAACTTGCAAATATGAACTTCAAATATGGTGAGCGATCTATTTTTCATGTTCATTTGTAAATGACAACTTATATATTTTCCTTTACTATATAATAGAGCTTTCTTAACCTGTATTTTTATTTTGTTTTTTAATCATCTTGCATGTATTGGGGTTATCTTCACTGAAAATCACATGTCAAAATGAGGTAGATCAAGTGCTAAATGCAGATAGTTATATGCAATCTTCTTTCCTGTAAAAGCTGAGCTTCACCCACTCCATTCTATTTCCTTTGACCCCCTTTGGTCCCTTTCAGTTCCGGTCAGCAGGGAACCCGTGCATGGTTTTACTACTGATCACAGCAGTACGGAACGCATGCTACTATTGTGACATTTGTGTTCGTCCATTTTTTCCTCCATCATAAGTCATAAGACTGAACTTACCGCACCCATGTTAGTTCTATTGGGAGTCGGATATAAGCAAACATGTCTGTTAACATTAGTTTACTCCAGATCCGTCACAATCAGGTCCATCAAAATGGGACTCTGTTCCATTTGGCTTTCTGGACCTTGACAGATTTAGGGGTGATCAGATGTAAACAGACTTATGTCCGTTTAGATCTGGCTGCCTATAGACTAACATTGGGCTTCCGATTAAATCCACCTGAACAACTGACAGGCCGACCTTATCGGTCCACCTGTTTGAAAGAGGTCTAAGGTTCTTTAATGTGATGGAAGGCTTTACTGACCAATAGGTAGGTGCAAGGGGTAGGGGCCAAACTTGACTTTCACACAAAAAGTCGATATTTGCAGATAACTTAAGCAGCCCACATCTGAAGATCTACAGGGTTAATCACAAAAGGGTGAAGAGTTTGGAGAAGGCCTGAGAAGTGAACAATCTAGGAAAACATAGCTGATTTGGAGAAATCTCCAATTCAGCTCACTATCCTAATCAGCTATGTTGGCCTAGATTGTTCACTTCTCCTGCCTTCTCCAAACTCTTCACCCTTTTGTGAATAACCCTGCCAAATAAATGTACTGTTATGGTTTATTTTTTTAATTAAACTAATAAAACTAGAAGAGGGTGTTCGCTCAGCCCCTAAAGGGAGCAACCAGAAGAAGAGAGCTCACATTACCTCCTAATAGGAATATCCCTGAATGTCAGGTCAAACCTCCATACATTTTAGGTGCTTGACTTGATAAATGAGCCACTTAATCCCTACTTGTTTGGCTAATGGCAATTTGACTTTAATTATTTATTCATAAAAAAGATCAGTTAATTCCTTTTCCTTCACTATGAAAATATGCTCTACAATAATTTTCTGGTTAACTTTCTCTTCTGTATACATACTGCACAGTGATTAAAAGTTGTAAGTCAGGTTGCTGGATGTAGAAAATGACTCCATAGAAAAACTCTCTAAATAGGATTGTCATGGTGTACAATGACTGAATGAAAGCCTGATCTTACAAAGAACAGCGGCTACATTTACAGAATGGTCATGTGATGCGGCTTTTACAACATGCACTGTTATATAAAAGAATTCATGCTTTAAATCTTACGATAATAAAATACATCAGCTCTAAATTAATATATTTTTTAGTGTTCTTAACTATCCCGGCACTGTTCATTGCTTTCATTACTCATTCTAAAGTCCACAGTAATCCACAGTCAATGAAAAGATGCAAAAAAAAGGTATTGCAATTCCAACCTTCTGTAAACCCTGATTTGATTACACAAAATTATTTAACACTTAATGTAAAGATGAAGGCAAACAGCTAAAGACACAGATGAAATATATGTACATTTACTGTTTTATTCCCCATAGGATTTGCAATTCTGTATAACCAATCTTGTGATTTTACACACATTTTTTTCACTGCATAGCCAGAAAGGTGACATTTGTAGTACCAGATTGAAGCCCAACTGAACTTTCAGATTATATCAGCTAAATACTTTTTAGGTGCATCAAAGCAAAATGTGTCTTAAAAAGTTTGATTTCTTTAGAAAGCAGCCAAGCTGGAGTAGAAAACCCCGTCCCCTGCAAGCATGTGAGGCCTTGTTCACAACAGAGCTTTCCGAGAATGTGCGACAATCGTGCACGAAAAAGCATTCATTTCAGCATTCAAAGAGGCCCCAAATCAGACGGGGTTTCCGCATGTGCAGATGCGCACAAATGCAGCAGGAAAAAATATGGGTCAGGTGTTGCACAAACAGGTGCAGGGGCCTCATTGAAATCAATGGGGCCATGTGGCAAATGTGGTGCAGGAACGCTCAGATGTGAACCAGGCCTTAATGTTCCTTGCTTTGAGACCTGTAATGCTGACTCAGGAGGGGGCATTTGGACCTATGCAGAAAACACAACTACATCTATCACTTCTTCTATCACTCTATCACACAGAAAACAAGGGTTCTTTTCTACAGCATACTTGCAGGGATCTGGCAGTTTTATATAGCTGGGGATGCTTTCTAAAGAAACAAACTGAGAATTTGCACACCTTTGTTTTCACACACCTGGAATGTATTTCACTGAATTGAACTGAAAGTTTAGTTGGGCTTTAAGCAATCAATTTTTTTCTGGATCCAGCTTCCTATGTCAGCTCTCTGCCTCAAGCATCCCTATTTGACAGTGAATCAGCATCCTTACCTGTGTCCTATGAGTGGGGAACAAACCTAGGAAGCAGTAGCGCTGATTTAGAAAGCAGTAATGCTAAACTTAGTAGTTGCACAGTGATCTACTTGACTAGCAAAGCCAAAATTGCTTGCCAAAATTACAAATCCTTTGGCAGGTAAACAGTAAATTCTGTATTTTACCCATGTATTTAGCTGTATGGCTGCAGTTTGCCTTTTAAAGGAGTTGTCCACTTCTGAATACAGCTCACTATTTAGGTAAGCATTTCTGCCATATATGGCCATATATGTACAATATATGACCAAAAGTATGTTGACACCCCTTCAGGTGTTACCAGGTAAGGTTACTGGTAATGCTACAGCATGCAAAGGCATTTTAGATAATTGTGTGCTTCCAACCTTGTGGGGAGGCCTTTTCATGCATAGTTGTACCCCTGTACACTAAGCCAGGTCCATAAAAACAAGCTTTCATCAATTTGGTGTGGAGGAAGTCTTTGGTCTGCACAGAGCCCTAACCTCAAATCTATTAAATGCCTTTGGGATAAAGTGGAACACAGATTGCGAGCCAGGTCATCCTACATCAGTACCTGACCTCATAAATGGTGTTTTGGCTCAATGGGCACAAATTCTGATACACTTGAGATTCTTCCCAGGGCCTTTCTTTGCGTCTGTTGTAGCTGCTAAGAAGGGCCAACTAAGCTTTTATAGGTGTGATGGTCAGGTGTCTACAAAAACACTCAATATTCTTCCCAGGGCCCTACTTTGCATCTGTGATAGCTGCTAAGAAGGGCCAACTAAGCTTTTATAGGTGTGATGGTCAGGTGTCCACAAACATTGACCATATAGTGCACCATTCCAGTAGGGATCTTAAAAGCCCTACTATTGCATATCATGGGCTCCTTTCCATCAAGACTCATGAGGTGTACATCGTGTTGGTAGACCCGACTGATAGAACCAAAGGTGTGTGTAGTAGCACAATTAGTCTAATCATGGCTCTTGCCCAACAGACAGTCATGCACACATTGCATGTAAAATCTTTCAAATTGCATCACAAAAAGCAAGCGGATTAATGTGGATTAATGTCAATGTTTTGTAAGCAGATGCTAAGTACAACCATTTCTTCCAGGTAAAAGAAGAATTTTGTAACACATGGTACCATGCTGGAGAGGGCAGAGATGAGAAAAGATTAAACTCTAAGCCAGCATACTCCTCAGACTGGCTGCAAGTTCCTTGAACCACATCCTGTAAACACTAGCAAATCACTCTACAGTTGAATTATGTAGAGCAGAATTCCCTATTTAACTGTATCTGGAAGAGGGGTATGGCTAAAAAGTGGGGCAGCAGATCCCTAGCAATTCAAATTCTCTTTGAGCTCAAATTACTGTTGTCTGTTATGTCCCAACATGTTCGTTTTGCAGGAATAAGGCAGAAATACTGTGATAATGGACATCTCTGACCAATCTAAAGCAATCACTGAACTGCTTAGGCTTTCCAAAACTGGACAACCCCTTCAATTTAAAAAAAAAACAGGCAGCATTTGATACCACTGGGGAGTTGCAGCTGGCACCAGCCCCAGACAAAATGTAACCTGCAAATCCCATAGGATGTCTATTCCAGGTTAACATCAAACGGTAAAACAAACCATAACCAAAATAGGTTTCCCTGTGCTACATTCTATGATATAAATGAAATCATTTGATAAACATTTTGGCATTTGTTTTTTTTACACTTAATATATTAGCTTAAGCTTTACAAGAAAAAACACATATAAAAGCTTGTAGACATATTTTTTTTGGTTTAAACATACAAGCCCATGCTTTGAAATAGAATTTCAAAGGAATATGATCTGTCTCATGGCATTACTTTGTTCACTTGATCTGTGGACATGTAGCCACAGGGTGGGATAAATTCTTTGCCTGGTGGAACAGTAGTGTTAAGCACAAGGTTTTGTGGTGAGTTTGTTATGTGAACGGAGGTATAGTCCGCCACTGGGGCCTCATAGCTTGAATCTTTTTCAGAGGCACGTAAGCTCATGGCAGCAGCTGTAAGGCTTTCTGGGGTGAAATAGCTATCCATGCTGGGGCTTTGTGGGGTGTTCTCTCTTGGAAAATTCACAGGACAGAATGCTGTCACCGCCGACTCACAGATATAAGCATTGTCCATGTTGAAGGTTGTGGGACGTTGGGTGGCTGCTGGTTCACTGCATTCTTCATTTTCTATCTTCATTCTTTGCCCTGGTGAGAGCAGAAGTCGTCCTGCTGGTGTGATATCGCTTACAAGAGCATAGAAATCCATGCCCGTTTTTGAACCTCTTAGCTGGGTTGAAGTAGGCACATTTGTTGTTCCGTTAGCGACTACCGGAGTTAGTTTAACATCTTCTGGCTTTGTGCTTGTTTTTTCTACATTTGGCATCTGAGAATTTGTGGTCACTCCTCCACTATTGGGTTTCTCACTAAGGCACAGGAGATCGGCTTGGTTGTCCTTTGTGTTGTGAGGTTGTCCAATATCCGAGGTTCCATCGCATGTTTCATTGTTGCCGAAGTCGGTTTCGGGAATATCAGGTTCACAACAACTGGCTCGGCCAGAATCATCATCTTTGACATCCAAGCAGCTATGCGTCTTGGGGTATTCTTCTCCCAAGAGACGGTCAGTGTCCGTTCCTTCATTCTTCTCATCCTGCTCGTCAAGGTCGAGCTCAATGAACTCAACCCAAGGGTCATCGATGCACAGCTTATAACTGTCATGGCTAGCAAGTATTGAGCTAACTTCATCCAGTTTTCCCTTCTGTGGACAAAGTAGAATTATGAAAACACAAATAGAAAATTATGATTAAAAAAAAACAAAAAACACAGAAGGACAAAATTCTAATATGAACCTTCTATTTGAGACTGTCAGATAGGGATATTGCCACTGTTCCCATATCAATGTTTTAGAAAAGACACCAAATTACAACATCAAATGAAGACTCTGGTTGCTATGGAAAACAGTGACATAATTTCTACGGAACACTTTGATAAGATACCTCCACTAACCTTTAGGATAACTGTTTGGGGCTGGGGGGTTAACGTACAGTAGTGTTACATTAAGGATAGGGGAAGATTGGGTTAGCTTAAAGGAGAGCTATGGGGCAACCTTTTTTCCCCATATTTCTCTTCAGGGTCACAGGAGGACATATACGGTGTCCTCTAGTGACCAAAAACTCTATTGTCCGCTATATGCTGAAAGCACTGCAACCAGGACAGAAACCCTGACAATACTGCCGAGATGCACCCCGTTGGCTGATTGACAGCTGGCTGTGCCTATCTAGAGGCAAAGCCAGCTGAGCCCGCCCCCTCCCCCGTCCGTTCCTTTACTCAGCGCTGGAGGATCGGAGAGGGGAGGGGGGAATCACTGCGGGGAGCGGTGACTGACAGTCTCTGCAGGGAGAGGATCAGGAAGTCAGCGATCGGCGGGATGTGTTCGCTGACGTCCCGATCAATAGAGCTGACCTGTGACAGCTTCTTGGTCACAGGTCGGTTAGAACTATAAGGATGAGTGTTTTTCACTCACTCCATAATTCTGCTTTAAGTCAAAGCGTTTGTGGGTAAAAATATAAGAGTTCATTTTAGGTCACAGGTTAAGTGTTACAGTTCAATTATGAAGAGAGTTGAATCATCTTAGTCTACCAGTGGACCTCTTTTAATAATATTCTGGGGGCAGGACTGTATAGACTCTTCTCTTAATCGAAAGGTGTCCTGGTACCCAAAATATCATCAGTGCTTTATTACAGGAAACAGGTTCTACAGCCCTTGTGGTTGCATTGTGATGTACCCTTTCTGCTATTGTTATTCCCTAAAAAGGGGAAAGGACAGGCTTACTAGCCGAAAGAGATAAGGAGAGCTTTGGTATCCTTTTCCTGTAACACATCATGTCAATTTCAGGGTAGCAGGGCACTATTTGAATACATCAAAAGTGTATGTAGGCCCTGTTAGTCCCACCATCCAATTACTGCAGATTAGAAGCACACAGACTCAGGCTTAGGTTAGGGGTCAGGACATGTGGAGAAAGTACCGCCTGGCTCTCTCTACTCACCAACAAACCAGGCAAGATAGACAGATGGCCACAATTGGAAAGGGGGTGTCAGGAACCGGGGACGTCTGCTGTAGCTGGCAGTGGTTCTACCTGTTGAGCCACCTTAGAACCTTGGATAGCTCCTTGCCTGATCTCCTGTGTAATCCTCAGTTTAACCTAGTGTCTGCTGCACTCTGAACTTCTTGCTCCTCCCTTGAACTTCCTATTTAAGCCATGCCTCTGCACTTCCTGTTTGCCAGATTATTGTGCTCCTGCCATTATCTTCCTTCCCGTTCCCACTGTGCTACAATCTACTCATACAGCTACCCGTGTACCGACCTTTGGCTGCTGATTCACAGACTACTCTCAACGTCTGCTGCTTCGTACCTGATACCTTTGGCTACTGACCTCGGCTTGTTCGCTGACTACGCTTCTGGCTGCTCCTACACTATACCATCTGCTTGTGTACCGAACCCGGCCTGTTATACCACAAATTAGCCTGCTGTTTCAGCTACTGGGCTCCGAGCCTGATCCCAGATCGTGACAGAATAATCTGGCAAACAGGAGTCCCCTGTTGCAGCTGCCATAGCCCCTGTCAGACAGCAAATTGCAGAGTTGCAAAAGTTTTGTGTTACTTGCCTAGAATAATTTTCTGAACTCCGGAATGTGATTAAAAGTCAGCAAGAGGAGATTCATGATATGCAGAGACAGTTACTGGACTTACGCTCCTGAGATGCCACCTCTGCAGACTCACACGCACGCATGCCTTTACCACTTAAATTCAATGGAGACCGCCGCCAATACAGAGGTTTCCTGAACCAATGTCGTATATACTTTCAGATGCAACCTGCTGCATTTGTTTCATAGAGAACAAAGGTACTGTTTATTATTAACCTCCTGACTGAGGAGGCTTTAGCATGGGCCTCCCCCAATGTGGAGCAGGACAGTGCAATCCTGGATGACCTTGATGCGTTTGTAACTGCGATGAATCTAGTTTTTGATGATCCCAACCGCTGTGCTACTGCCGAAGCTAAATTGCACAGTCTATGGGAGGGGAAACACTCTGTTGCTGAATATACAGCTGAATTCCGACGCTGGATTGCAGATACCACTTGGAACCCAGCAGCGCAAAAAAGTCAGTTTCGCCAGGGGCTTTCTGAACAAGTTAAGGATGAGCTCGCTAGAGTCGAAACTTCTAATGACCTTGAGACCTTTGTCCAATTGTGTATTCGCATCGATCAGAGACTTACTGAAAGGAAGAAGGAGAAACTAAGAATGTTTGGAAGTAACCCTGGCATGCGTTTCTCTTTTAGTCAGCCTGCACAGAACCAGATTCCAGCGCTCCTGAACCTATGCAGGTTGATGCAATAAGGAAATCTATTTCTGTTCAGGAGAAGGAGAGATGACGTACAGAGAACTTATGTCTTTGTTGTGGGGACTCTGGACATTATGCAGTTAACTGTCCGAATAAAGAGAACTATTGCTGCCACAGATGTTAAAGTGTCCGAACAAATAAACTCTATTGCTCGGTCCATCTCAGCATCAAATCAAGAAGAAAATAAAATGTGTTCTTAACCATCTAATTTTGTCATCCCTATCATACTCACCTTGGAAAGTCGGGATATTCCGTGCTCTGCTATGCTGGACTCCAGAGCCGGAGGGAACTTCATGGACATTGAATTCGCTCAAAGCAGTGTTATACAATTATAAATAAATCTTTACCTATTGATATGGAGACTGTTGATGGTTCACCTATATCTTCATGGCCAATTACCCATGAGACTGTTCCTCTTAAACTGCAAATTGAGCCTGACCATAGTGAGACCATCAGTTTTCAGCTGATTTCATCACCCAAATTCCCTATTATTCTGGGCATCCCTTGGTTCTCTACTCATAATCCCTCCATAAACTGGGAGACACGATCTATAATCTTCACCTCCATTCATTGTAGAGACTTTTGCAAGAAACATTGCCAACCGCAATTGTCCCTGATCAAGGATTCGCATGTTGAGGAAGGATCTACTCCACAGTATGACAGATTGCCTCCACAATACAGGGAATTTCAGGATGTCTGTGATAAAAAGAATGCTGACTAACTGCCTCCTCATCGCCCTTATGATTGTCCCATAGAGTTGCTACCTGGGGCGGAAATACCTTTTGACCGTATTTACTCTCTGTCGGAGCCTGAGCTGAAGGTGCTCAGGGAGTTTTCTGGAGGAGAATTTGAAGAAAGGTTTCATCAGACACTCAACATTTCCTGCTGGAGCACCCCTATGCTTTGTGGAAAAGAAGGACTCTACTTTGAGACCATGCATAGACTACAGGGAATTAAATAAAATCACTATCAAGAACCGCTATCCACTCCATTTGATTCCTGAACTGCTGGAAAGGCTCCGCTAAAATATTCACCAAATTGGACTTACGGGGTGCATGTAACATTGTTCGCATTCGTCAAGGAGACGAATGGAAAACTGCTTTTAGAACCAGATATGGACATTTTAAATCTTTGGTCATGCCATTTGGCCTGTGCAATCCTCCTGCAACATTCCAACACTTTACCAATGATGTGCTGCGAGATTTGTTGGATCAGTTCGTTATTGCCTACTTGAATGATATCCTTATCTTTTCAGATGATCTACAGGAACATCGCAAGCATGTCTCCATCATCTTCAAACGTCTGAGGGAACATCAACTTAATCTCAAATTGGAGAAATGTGAGTTCGAACAAACTCAAATCCAGTTCTTGGGGTACATAATTTCTCCAGATGGGCTGAGTATGGACCCCGATAAGATTAAAGCTGTGGTGGAGTGGTCCACCCCCAGAAACATTAAATAAATTCAACGGTTTATTGGATTTGCAAACATTTACCAAAAATTCATAAGGGACTTCTCCAAGGTGATAGCACCAATTACCCAGCTAACAAAGAAAGGACAGCTTTTTTCATGGTCGCCAGAGGCGCAGACTGCTTTTACCAAACTAAAGACTCTTTTCACTTGTGCACCGATATTGGTACACCTAGGTCCCGAACTGCCTTTTATAGTGGAGGTGGATGCTTCAGATAATGCTGTAGGGGCTATTCTTTCTCAGCGAGTTGGGGGAAAAAAAGGCAGCTTCATCCTTGTGCTTTATAGTTACATAGTTACATAGTATTTGAGGTTGAATAAAGACATTAGTCCATCAAGTCCAACCTATTAGGATCTCATTCTAGGAGTGCCTGTACCCCTGTATATTACGGTCCCTTAAGAAATCGTCCAAAAGTTTCTTGAACAATTCCACATTCTTTGCTGAAATCACCGCCTGTGGCAGTGAGTTCCAGACCCTAACTGATCTTACTGTGAGGAACCCCCTTCGCCCCTTGTGCAGGAATTTTTTCCCCACCAATTTTAGGTGGTGGCCTCTAAAGTGTTTAGAGCTTTCTTCTCTCGTTTAATGTTCTCTGCTGAAAAGAATTATGATATTGGAAATAAAGAATTATTGGCAATTGAGGAAGCTTTTTCCAAATGGAGACATCTGCTGGAAGGAGCCAATCATCCTGTGACTGTGCTCACTGATCACAAAAACCTTGAATTCATCTGTTCTCCCAAAAGACTGTCTTCTAGACAAGCATGATGGACTTTGTTCTTTTCCAGGTTCAATTTCCTTATCTCGTATCGACCGGGATCAGGAAATGGCAAGGCAGATGCCTTATCACAGACTTTGTCAGAGCCCCTCCAGGAAAGCAACCCTGAATGTACCATCTTGCCTCAAAAGAACTTTCTAGGTGCCACGAATTTCAAGGAGTTCTTGCCTCTACTTATAGATGGCTACAGTGATGACCCACTCCTCAGAGATGCCCCCCAAGGATATTCAACTCTTCTATAAGAACGGCTATTGGACTGGAGACCATCGTCTCTATGTACCAGAATCCGCTCGGGTAGAGGCCCTCAGGATGGTTCATGACTCTAAACTGGCTGGGCATTTCGGGGCCACAAAGACTGCCGAACTTTTATCACGTTCCTTTTGGTGGCCCGGTTGCAAGAATGATGTCAAATCCTATGTTTCTTCATGTCTCACCTGTGCACGTCACAAGACACCTCGATCCTCTCCGCTCGGGTTGCTTCATCCTCTGCCAGTCCCATCAAGACCTTAGGGGTCAGTTTCTATGAACTTTGTAGTCGATCTTCCACCCTCTACGGAAATGACTATCTTAGTGGTCGTTGACCATCTCACAAAGATGGCTCATTTTATCCCAACCAAGGGGATACCCACTGCTGAGCAAACTGCAGAGCTGATGGTCCGAGAGATATTCAGATTGTATGGCATCCCTGATAATGTGGCATCTGACAGAGGAGTGCAGTTTACCTCGAAATTTTGGAGGAGTTTCTGCACAGCCCTGGGAGTTCCAATTAATTTGTCCTCTGCTTTCCATCCTCAATCTAACGGTCCATCACCTAGATCCGGAAAAGCAATCTAGAGTATTGGCAGATTTGAAGAAATCTGGCTCCCAAATAGTGTTCGTTCAGGAAACTCATTTAAAAAAAGATCAGATCCCCAGGTTGTCCAACCGGGAGTTTCCCTTAGTCTATTACTGTTCCTCTCCAGTTTCGAAAACGAAGGGTGTTTCTATCCTTATAGCTGAAGGATAGCCCGTGGACATATACTGATCAGTACATAGACCCCATTGGGAGGTTTCTCCTCTTGAAGGGAACGATCGGTGACGTGTCAGTGACCCTCGCTAATGTGTATTTTCCAAATACTGATCAATTAGGATTCATACGCACTCTGGTCCAGGTCCTACTGGAGTTGACAGATGGCGTCCTGGTGCTAGGGGGAGACTTAAATGTTGCTATGGACCCTTTGGTAGATGTTTCTAGGGGCACTTCTCACCTAGCCTATTCGTACCTAAAAAAACTGAAATCGGAGCTACATCTCCTGCGTCTGACAGATGCATGGCGGTTCCTACATCCGCAGGACAGGGATTACACCTTTTTCTCTCACATCCATCAAACCTACACAAGGCTAGATAATTTTTTTGTTGAACACAAGGTGCTCCCTCGAGTACGTACAGCAACCATTGATAATATTCTTTTATCTGACCATGCCCCCATACCCTTTTTCTCTACCTCATCTCCTTAGACTATAATCTCTACTTCTTGATACTTTCATCTCTTTTCCCCTGCTCCCCTCTGTTTCTCTTTTGCACATATCTTACGATGTTGTTTGAAACGTTATGAACAAAAAGTTCTGCTATTAAGTTATTCCTTCAGAATTGAATTTACTCTATACACGTGACACAGCTATGTGATCTATCATACCTAATACCTCTGTCGTTACTCCTAATGTATGCTTTTGCTATCAGATCTACGTTTGATGTATTACGTAGGCACATAAGTTCTTAGTGCTTCCCGTGTTTAGCATCTTTTGCATTTATGTCATATGATTATCTATTCCCATGCCTGCACTATGTGTATTGTATACGTATTCAGATAATAAAATATAAAAAAAAAATAATATAAAGCTTCATATTACTGTACAAATCTCTGCACTTATCTCATTTGGGTGAACATCAGTGGTGCCATACTTACTTGTAACAGGGCAGGGTCAATCCCTTTAATCTTTGGAACTGGCACTGGGGGAAGTATCAACATCTTTAACCTGGGAGACACAAAAAGAAACCAGTTTACGCTAGCCACAGATACATACTGTTTGTAAGTAATGAAACAGATTAATAATCTAATAGTATATAAAATAATATGCAATTAAAACATCAAGAAAGCATTGTAGTGTTACAAAAGTCATGCCAAAAGCTGGGTATTCTTCCTAGTTTCCAATTATCAGGTTGGGTCATCATGCTATAAATTCTCTTGTAGCTGATCTTTAGGTTTGTGCAAACTGGATTTGTTTATCTGGATTTTCCAGGCATATGAAATGTGTACGAAAATGCATTTTAAATGCAAGTCTGCAGATTTCCATTAACTTTGAAGCTGAACTCCAGGATAAGCATATATTGTCTGAATATAAGAGACTTCCAGCATGAAACTTTGCCTCTATGCAGGAACTTACTGTAATAAAGACCCGTGGTTGCTTTCTCTCCTTGTGCTGGGTGACTGGTCTTGTATCCGCCCCCTCCTGTAGTTTTCTGCAGACAGCTTGTAGTGGATGGGGCCTACTGGGTCCCAGAGCTCTGCTTTATGCACAAGTTATGTGTAGCACCGTGATCATGTCACTGCTACTTTTATATGGTAATATAGCTGGGTTTGTAATTGTTAATGTGTTGCGTGTGCAAATTCTTAAAGTGACATTAAAGGCAACTTTTTTTTTCCCCTCACCCCAACGTTAATTAACCAGTTGACATCCGCGGTGTTAAACCCACTTCCCATCCAGGCCATTTTTCAGTATTCAGCGCTGCGGTACTTTAACTGACATTTATTCCGTCATGCAGCGCTGTACTGAAATGAATTTTATACCCTTTTTTGGGGACAGATAGAGCTTTCTTTTGGTGGTATTTAATGCCGCGAACGAGCACATATAGGCGATCGGCGGGCTATGGACCCGCTGATCGCCTATATGTGAAACACCCGGTAACGGGTGTGCTTAATCGTCGGGTCTTTTCTGACCGTGCGTGCCCGCTAGGGGGCGCGCGCGAGCAGAAAAAAATTGCCGTCTGGAGACGGCAACCCGCAGATGTAGCAGTGCCGTCCGTCCGTTTTTTTACTACGGGCGGACAGCAAGAGGTTAAAAGCACTTACCTTAAATGATGTCTCTTAATCCGATCATCTTCTTCTTTCCTGATGTGTTCAGCCTTTTGTCCAGCGCTGCGGTGGGTGTCCGATCCAGCGCTGACTCCTCTGGGCTTGCTGGCACTTCCTGTCCCACGGTGTCTGCATGTGGGTGCACGCGTCCATAGACTTACCTTGCGTCCCTCCTCGCGTCCCGGCCGAAAATGTGAACTGCGCATGCCCGCGCCCCAAGATCCTTTAGAAGAATTTTCACATTTTTGGATGGGAGCGAGCGGGGAAAACACAGGTAAGTTTAAACTGCTGTTAAAGCGGCTTTAAAAAAAACAAAACTTTTTGCATATATCTACTGCTTGCTAGCAGTAGATATATGCAAAAAAAGCTGAGGGTTTAGAAACTCTTTAAGTGAATGAGATAATATGTAAAAGTTAATGTTCAGAGGTCCTGCAAGGCAGCTGACTGTAATTGGAGCCTATTAGCTCCCTATGTGACAAAGACTTTAGGTCCTTGGTGTACTTACTATGTCCACATGCATTACTATTTCTGCCGTCTAATCTTTACTTTTACTTTGTAAGCTTTTTCTTCTAAAAATACAATGTTCACATTGAGCAGAGGTTGTTGATTTCATTATGAGTTGGTGGAGAATGCTGGTTTGTCCAGAACCTCAGCTGCTTTCCTGACTTGCCACTGCCTAGGCACTGGATTTGTTAGCCACTAGACTTATTTAGCCATTGGACCTGGAGGATTGGGACTTACACTGAGTGGCTGTAGGTAAGACTTTGTTTACCAGTCTCTACTCTCCTACCGCTCTTGTAGTGGGAAGGTATGCTGACAATGATGCAAAAGTTGCTCTCACACTGAATTTTCCTCCTTATTCTCTTTAACCTTGTTGTTAAACTAACTGGGTTGCTAAGAGTGAGGTTCTAAAAGTGGAACTATGGCCTCCCATTAAAAAAATTGTGCCCCATATTAGTGTATCTGCATTTACAGTTTTCTCTCAGTATCCCTGCAAAGTCCCACAAATATCTGTTGATCCTGCCAGTGATGTTCACCTAATGCAGCTTCCTGTAATGGGGTGGCAATGATGATGCAATGCTCCTGAATTCAGAGCAGAGTTGCAGGGGCTGTGGCTATCAGCACTGTTACTGTTGATTTACAATCCTGGTCCCTCTTCACAGATACAAGAAGTAGCAGGCTTTGCAACTGAGTACATTCATATACAAATCTTCGGACAAATACATAGAGCTTTGTTGCCATACACTCCCTTACAAAATAACTGAGTAAGGTATTTTTGGTTCCTCCTGGCCCACCTCACCATAACCTGGTATGTGATTATACTTCCTCTTTGCTCCCCAAGTCCTACTTCTTAGAAGTCCTTGTTTCCATACACTGCACTTATGATGACCAACTAGCACAATAAAGCTGTATGCAGTTTGGAATAAATGGCTTTACAATATCAGGCTGTAGCTGAACTATACACCAGTGGTTCCAAATGCAGAGTTGGCCCGAGATATAATGCAGATACCTTTTGTATTATGAAGACTCCACTGTACTCCATCACAAAGGTGAGTGCTGGAAATTTCTCTAGTGCACTTGTATTGAATTTTATTTTTGAACATATACCTTTTGAAGGTAATAAACTGAGAAGCTTGCAACTTACCTTTTCTTTTTGCAGAATATGAAAAATGACAGCCCCACCACTACAGCAAATATTGCAATGATCACAAACAGCGGCCATGGAGAATCTGAAACTAAAACAAAAACATTATAAGACATATTAATATGAAGTCTTAAACTCAAGATGGACCGACACTGTACATACTCCACCGATGGTGGGAACACGTCTGTTATTTCTGTTTGGTTCCTGGCTTTCAAAGTGAACCTGTATTACATTAAAATTCAAACAAACCCCCTGCTGTCTAGAAGGCACCCATTGATGCCTTTACATACCTTTCACACGCCTGTCTGCCTATTTGATCCCGACTTTATTGTTAGAGTGCAGGGGAAGTAGCCTATACTCAGGAGGTATTGAGTTTCAGTGCACCATTTAAAAGAAGCCTGTTGTCACAGAAATGCATAGGCTGCCTTTGTTAGTTGTCTCACTGTAAGGCCTTATTCACACGGAGCCAGTAGTAGACAGATTGCGTCTAAGACCGTCTATCTGTCCCTAGCCGCAGGTAACTGCTGGATGCATGAATACTGTACATGTAAATAGCGGTGAACGGTTGTAGCTCCTGGCAGCATGTCATCGTTTTGAACACAATGAGTGGCCGCAGCTGTCCGGAAACATCTGTGATTCCAGCTGCAAGAATCCACTGGGATCTGCCATTGGCGCTAAAAAACCCCAGTGTGAATGAGGTCCTATGCCAAAGCTTTGGTTTCAATACACCGGGTCAGTGACAAAGAGGCAGTTAACAGTCTCATTAGAAAGTTTCCTTTCAAGAACAGTCTGTACAAAAAAGGGGTTACTTAAAGGAGAACTATGAGGTGAGTGCTTTTCACTCATCCTTATAGTTCTAGCCGACCTGTGACAATGAAACTGTCACAGGTCGGCTCAGTAGATTGGGAAGTGAGCGAACACATACCGGCGTTCGCTCACTTCTCGATCTTGTCACGGCAGGGAGCCGTGACAGGGGAGGCAATGGATTCCCCCCTCCCAGCTCCGATCCTCCAGCGCTGACTGGCGGAACGGATGGGGGAGGGGGCGGGTACAGAGACGCCGCAGCTGGAACGGATCCAGACATAATTGTCGGGATCCGTTTCAGCTCTGGCGTCTCAGTATATCGCAAGCTGTAGCTCGCGGTATACTAAGCTTAGGGTGACGGGAGGACGCTAGTTTGTGTCCTCCCGTTACCCTTAGGAGAACTATGGGGAAAAGCCCTAAGCCCCATAGTTCTCCTTTAAAGTGCTTTTCCACTTTTGCAGTCAAAATTGAGAAAACCCCTTGATATGTTTGTTATGTATTCCCATTCACACAGCATATCTAAAAATTATCTTCAAGAGATATTTAAGATGTCTTTGAGTTGCAGGCCTTTGCAAGCTACTCTCTCAATTTCAGTAACAGGAAACTATGACTATCATAAACATTACCCTCCCCATCCCCTTTGCATTGCAGATAGAAATTCAGAACAGAGAACTATTTTTCTTTAAGAATTGATCATGTTTTGTGCAAGCAGCATTTTTTTTTTTTTACATTATGCTATGTGAATGAGAAACAGGTAACAAATGTATAATAGGTGTCATATAAATTTGGCTTTACAAGTGGAAATACACTTTAGATTGTCTATAAAATCAGTGAAAAAATAATAAACGTTGCGTAATAAGTGTGTCTTGCCTCCCACTACCATCTATCAGTATTCATATGCTGTTGTAATCTAATTAGGATTTAAAATGAATTCAGTGGTTGGCTCCCAGTCAGTATTAATTCTGAATACTTACATCCCAGTGGAAGCTGGATGTTCAGCAATTCACTGAATTCTGAGAACGCATAACTTCCTTTCTGTTTGCAGCGAATCTTCACCCAGTACTCATTCCCCGTCTTTAGTCCATAGATCGATAAATATGTGGTTTTCACAGTATCATACTAGGAAGGGCAAATAATAAAGAGACATCCTTTGTGATTGTGGAATTAGCTAGTAAGGCAGAGAAATTAAATGAATGCATTCATTATGTGTTATCAAGCTGACCGTATTATGCTCAGATGGACTACATGCTGCCTTTAGCTGTATTTTCTTTCACAGCCTAATGTATTATATGTTTAAATAAGATCACATTATCATTTTTTCTATCATTACCCTTTGTTAAAGTAATTATTTCTGAATAAAAGAGAAAAGCCTATTGTAAATAAACATTACCAATGTGTGTTAATGTTTTAAATTTTTTTCTATGCATAGAGGGCCATTCATATTTGGTCTTTAAAGTACATATGTAGGTTCACCCTCCTGACAGCAAATTGTCTCTCAGTACATGCAACACAGTGTGGCTGGCTTCTAATGTGAGACGTCCCTTTCTCTCTAAAAATCACTTGTGGTTAGAGTCATTTTCTCTCTGATTTTCTTTTTTGGGCACAGTGTTCAGAATTCAATTCCGTTTGACCAACATATACACAATATGGTCAAAACTTTCTGGACACCTAACCATCACATTTATATGAGCTTGGTGGACATGCCATTCCAAAATCATGGGCAATTCTATGGAGTTGCGCCCCTTCCTCCCAACTTTGTGGCTATAACAGCCTCCAGTACTATTGGAAGGCTTTCCACAACAATTTGGAGTGTTTGGGAATTGGTGCCCATTTGCCTAAAAAAAGCATTTGTGATCATGCAATAATGTTGGACGAGAAAACCTGGCACACAATCAGCTTTCTAATTCAACCCAAAGGTGTTCAGTAGGGTTTAGGACAGGTCTCTGTGCAGGTCTCACGAGTTCCTCCACTCCAAACTCATCAAACCATGTCTTTTTGAAGCTGGCTTTGATCAGAGGGCCCCGGTCATGCTGGAACATAAAATGACCTTCCCTAAACTGTTGCCACAAGGTTTGACATGCAAAATTGTTTAAAATGTCTCTGTGTGCCATACAAATAAATGTATCCTTCACTGCAAACACCTAAACAATGTAATTTGGAGTGGTGTCCACATACGTTTGGCCATATAAGTAGGGGTAAGGTGTCCACATACTCTTGGCCACATAGTATACAGGTACATGTACAGCGATATTTCTGGCAAATGAAACAATATATAAAAAAAATTTAATTCCCTTATAAACACTATATATTTCTTTTTTTTTTTTCCGCTTGGGGTTATCCAGTCATCTCTAACCCTGCTGGCCTGTGAACATTAATAATATATCTTTACCGTCTTCCATTTTGTTGCATTGGCCATTTTTATCTGCACTTCGTATTCCAGTGTGATCCATCCACTTTTAACATCAGCTGTGGCTGGTGGAAGCCAGTTAAGTTCAATGTCCATGTGCAAACGGGTTTCACTGATGTTGAGAGATGTCCAGTTCAAAGCCATGGGAGGGTCTGGACGCACTTGATAAACAAAAATTTACAATTTGCAAATCAGAAAGTTAAAGTACATAGTCACATTTTATGGTGCAAAGGCAGCAGAATAGTAACTCTGCTGACTCATTCCTACTGGCACACACACATGCTAACGAGCTTTATCATTTATTTCAGTATGTGTTTCGCTGTGGTTTTGAGGAATCCTATAGAGCTAATTTAAATCTGAATATGCAGACCAATGCATAATGCAGTATGCAGAATTTCTTAGCAATTTTAAGGTTTTGAGGAATCCTATAGAGCTAATTTAAATCTGAATATGCAGACCAATGCATAATGCAGTATGCAGAATTTCTTAGCAATATGCAACAATGTCGTACAAAACCGCAGGAACAAGTGTTGATTAACTTGACAATAATGACTTGATTATTTGGTGCAGCTTTATTAAATAAATGTGTTTTACACACTGTAAAGAACAGTAGTACAGCCTGCTGGCAAGTCATATAGAATATATATTACACAATGCATTCCTTGCATTTCTTCCTAAGTAAATGAGCTATGCATTTTCCTCTTCAGCTGAGAGATGATGCTGTGCTAGTATATCAATTGAAGCATGAACAGGAGAAAGCCATCCTTGACAGGCCATCAATCACGTCAACCCCAGATCACACTGTTGTTGGCCCCCTCTCACAGCTATCAGCTTTCTCAGCCATCAGTCAGTTTGTTCCTGACATTTATGCAAAAGAGCACGTCTCTGGCATCCCTTCAGCTGTGTCTGAAACCAGTCAACCAATCAGCATACTGCACAGCTAAAACATGGAACACCCAGTGACCAGCAGGGAGGAGCAGGCACATCTAAAGGGATCCCGCAGTCTGCCAGCCTCTTCAACCAAAAACTTAGAGCAAAGAGCAGCAGGCAGACCCAGTCATCACATCGCTGGGTCTCAAAACAGGTACTACTTGATAAACAAAATGATTTGATTGAAAAACTGAAAAATTGAAATAAAGATGAAAAAATATTTAACATTTCAGTTAATAAGAAAACAACAACTTACCTATTTCATCGACAGTAAAGGAGTATTCATGAAATGTGACGTTGTCACTGACCAGGCGGACTTGATATCCCACCCAAATCGATGTGTAGTCCTTATTGAAATAACATCCATTTTCACCAGCAGACACTGTGTCAGGGCAATCGGTCCAATTCAGGCCTCTAAGAAAAGGAAATATACGTGATAAGTTATTTTACAGAAAGTCAAGCAAAATAAACAATATCGATGTGCTTGTTAGCTTGTGTAGGTTATCCTGCTCACATGTTATATTGTCCAAGGTATGTATTTGCATAGTTGGTTTTCTTAAAGGGTACGTAAACTCTAAAAGTGAAGTTCTCCTATTTGCTTCCTTCTTAGCCCTTGTTAAGATAGGTGGCAGACTCCACCGCCCTTCTGAAAAGCATTTCACGGTGGATTGCTTCTCAGTGGGCAGTAGAGCAGAGGATGCCTGTGGTTCAGGACGCAATACTGCCCCCTTCTGAATACCGTTTAAAAAAAAAATCCCAATGGGGATTTTCAATTGCAAAACTGTGCCGCATCCGTGTACCCATGTTGATTGCAATGGTCATGTTTGCAATAAAAGCTCAAGATTTAAAAAGTTTAAAATTGCAGCCACGTAAGGTTATATAAGTTTTTAGTTTAGGTTTAGATCTACCTAAAATTGATTTATTAGAAAAGTTAAGGAAATACAATGAATAAGATCATCATAAAAAAAGGCAGATTTTAAATTAAAAAGCATGAAACAAAAAATATATCCTTAATCATTTTACTGAACATTGTGCAATCCTTTCCTACACAGAAGAGCAGCAGTGAAAGTGGAACAGTCTGTGATCGGAACTTTTTATATGTTCATTCCATATAGCTCAACTTTATCTAAAATAATAATATTTTAGTGTATAATGTTTGTTATTGAAGAAGGAGATATTTACGGTTTTCTATATTGCAGCTTTAACAAGCCAGTTAGGTTTTGAAATTCCCCATAGGTCCAGTGACAAGTAAAGGTTTCCTGCTGGGGGGATCGACACTCTGTGACTCTTGGCCACCCAGAAGGATCTATAAGAGAGCAAGTTATTAAAAATATTGTTTACATCTTTATTCTATTCTAAATATATGACATGTATAGGATGCTAAGATACAAGTGTGCATTAGAGATAGTATGTTTAAGACTAGTGGTTCTCAACCTGTGTAGCCTCAGGACCCAAATTTGTCCTTGGTCATCAAGTCGTGACCCAAGTCGCACCGCACTGGAATGCGTGGCATTGCGGTACCGGGTGCAGGCGATTGAACGGTGGGTGGTGCGTTTGGGATGCCATTCAAATTAATGGCAATGCAACACACCTCTCACACAAGAATGCGCGGTGGGTGCGATTGCGTGGTAAATTGCGTTAATCACACAGGACTGTGTGATTAACGCACTGTACTAGTGAGAACGGGCCCTCAAGAACACTAACAGACACACACAACCACAGACACAATCTCACACACTCACTTTTTAAGATCCATCCAGTCTCCCTATCGTACGAGTGGAGTGGATCCTAGGCCTGGGGTCCAGTGTGGGCTGCTGTGCTGTGACGGAGCTCCATCCATATGTGCATTGCTTGTACATCTCCCTTACGGGCCCTGTAGAGGTGCCAGAAGCCAGAATGTGATGTCACTCCAGTCCAGGCACCTCTACAGGACACGTGAGGGAGCTGTAAGCAATGCACGTATGGATGGGGCTACCTCATGTCCATAGCCTCATACCACCCCAGCTTAAGCTGGCACTGCTAGGGGGAGGCTGATGAGCCTCTCTCCCAGAAAAGTGAAAGTCATGAGGTGACCCACTGAACATGGGGTCGCAACCCACTTTTGGGTCACGACCCGCCAGTTGAGAACCAAGGATTTAGACTATTGCAGTGTAGTTTGCAATAGTAGTATAATGCAAGTTCAGTCATGGGTTACTGCAATGTGCGTTAATGCACAGCAAATTGAGCCGTTTGGCATGGCACCAAACACAGTGTAATGTCAGCAGGCAATGCACTCATGCTGCAGCACAATGGACACTGAGCCCATTATAAATGAATACCATGTGTGTGGTGATGCACAACATATCGCTACAGTGTGGCCCTCAGACACTTATAGCAAACTTTTGAAACTCTGCTGGGTTTTTATTTTTTAAATTTCAAAAGTTTTTATTAATATTTTCCAAAAGGGAGACAATACAAAGATCAAGAAAATAGCATCAACAATGGGATATTACAAAACCAGCCCAACATTGTTACCTTGCATACCATGCCTAAAACATTATGTGTAGATGGTATCAGCTCACAAGAGTAATTGGGGCTCTAAGCCCAAACAGCCATAAGAAAATACGTCATGTCAAACTCGATGGACATGTGTCTTTTTTAACCTGACTAACTATGTAACTATGTCAGTAGCAAAATAATGAAGGTATACCTTCTTTATACTTTTATAAGTAACAGAGAGCTGCTCTGCATCCCTAACCATAGTATACCACACTAACCACTGGGAATCAGAGACTAACTGGGGTTATATAGGAGGTAACCATTGGTAAGATTCGAAAAAGAAGGGTTTTTATTTTTTAACCTCCTCCTGCCACTAAGCTGTTTATGCATGGCCTTTACTGCCTACGTCTGACCTTTCACAAGAGTACTTACCTTTCACCATCCTGAGATAAAAGGACAGACACCCAAGAACCTGTATACAGAGGCATCAAGGTGCCATGCTCAAAGAGTAACATAGAAAGACCATATTAAATGGAATGGCTCAATACACATGAGAACTAAGAAAAGCATTGCTTCATGCTTGAAATGCTTGAAATAATGTGGTCTACATCACGTGTTTATGTTGATGCTGCCACTGTCATTCTCCTGGATACCTCTCCCAATCTGGCTCTGCAAAATGGAACTCCTCGCTTGTATACAGTAGAAGCATCTGACACTTGTCTATACAAACCCTAGGGGGTTTATTTATCAAACTGTTCAATCAACACAACATTTACACAAGATTCACCCACAATTGAATTTAATGGAAAATGGGTGAATCTTGGATGAAGGTTGTGTGAATACTAGATGAAAACATTAACAGACCCCTAAGACTTGCACTTAACCCTACCCAAATCTGACAATATCCTAAACTCAACTCTTCTTTTGATTAAAAAATCATAACTGCTCCATCAAACTAGGGACACATCTGGGAGACATCACTATATATTTCAGTTAATTTCTTAACACATAAGGCTGGTGTAAATAGCAAATGATGCACAAACATAAAAAAAATTAGCAGCATTACATGTCTTTATTATTTTCTTCTGCAAAGGTCCTCTGGTGCTGACTGCCATAGAGCTTAGCGGTTTCCGCGGGATGGGTGTAGGTTGTTCTGAAAAAGAACAAACAAAAATAGTGTGATACATACAGTTAGGACATTTGTGACATAATGGGGTTGATTTACTAACCTTATAAACACACCATGAACATGTATACACCTCTGTAGTGTGTTCCCTCCCAGCATGATCTATGGGTGGAATCTAAACACCTTTGTAGTGTGTACACACCCAGCAGGTGTGTTGTGTAGAGCCCTGCCCTAAATTGCAATGTGATGTTGTGTAAATTAGCTCTACATTGTGTTGCTTGCGTGGAAATATGCTTATAGAGACTTTTTGGTTGATAAATACGCTTTGCTGTGTAAAAATCACACGCACCTGGTGCGTGCGTGTGTTTAGGTTAGTAAATCACCACCAAATGTCAGAATATATGCAATTGAATTCCAGATCATGTTCCTGATTGTCCCAAACTGGGTTCATGTTTCTTTCCTTTCCTTGTGGCCTACAGCAGCCTTGGAAGATACAGGGTCTGTAATGTGGACAGGAGTAGCTAATTGATAAAGTTGGAGTTTATTACCATTAATGGCATAGGGATGGCAATTCAAGTGCTGCCTCAAGGTGTAGAAACTCATATTCAATCCTGTCTGAAAATCACAGAAGTAGATATTTCTGTTATGTGATTAATACCAACAACTCCCCTTCTAGCTCCTGCCAATGGCATTCCTCAATAGAGTGAACATATTATTTCACAAGATGTTGACGCACAAATATTTCTAAGCCTTACTGGGTACCAGTTACAGTGAGAACAGGTACCACTAGTGGTACTCACCCCACACTTTGGGAAATGCTCTTGTTGGAGCTCTTGATATAACTACAGGCAGTCCCCAGGTTACGAACAAGATAAAGACTGTAGGTTTGTTCTTAAGTTGAATTTGTATGTAAGTCGGAACAAGTACATTTTTAAGTGTAACTCCAGCCAAAAAAAAAACATTTTTTCGTTTTGGATAGCATAGGGAATGGTCATGTTTGTTTTGCTGTCTGTTCCCCTTGTTCAGAAGATTTTACCTCACTTTCTGTCCCTATGACAACTGGATTTTGAAAATTTTGGGTTGTCATGGAAACAAGGATTGGTGATAAAGCTTCAGTGAAGACACCTTCTTCCCATGATCTTTCAGGAGTGACTTTCCCTTCCTAGGAGTAGATTTCCTCTCACTTCCTGTTGTTTCAAGGACAGAAAATGAAATTAAATCTTTCCGGCTGCATCAGCGGTAGTTCCATCCCTGCCACCAGTTATACAGGAATACAAATTCTGGCGATACTTTATACAACAATGCAGAATACCATCAGCTTTGTATAATGTTGCTGGGATTTGTAGTCCTGCATAGCTGGTGGTATTCAGCATTTTTGTATAATCATTTTACAGCAATGCTGAATACCACCAGCCCAGCTACAGTCCCCCAATCCTCCCTTTCCCTCCAAGCCAGCCATTACCCATACACTCCCCAACCTCACCTAACACATGCGGGCTGCAGCACCTCTTCTCCTGCATCCTTGATGGCCAGTGGAGTGGAGGGACCACAGGGGAGGGTCCACACGATGACCCAAACAGCAGGATGTGGCTGCCTGGTGGTGCCTGCAGAGTCTCGTATTGGCTCCGTTATGCTAACAGTTCTCCTAATTGACAGGCAGTTGCACAGTCGCCTGTGTGCATCGGATCCCCGCACAGCTGCCGGCGCTGGTACATACAGCTGTCACTCAATGTCACCGACTTTACTGCAGTTCATTGCACAAAGTTTTTTTACAATGAACTGCAGGAAAGTCTGTGGCACAGAGTGACAGCTGTATGTAGTTGTGTCCCTACACTGCGGGAGCTGCAGGTGGCAGAGGCAAGGAGCGGGACTCGGGAGCGGCATTAATCTGGGGGCGGGGAGGGAGAATCTGACCTCGGCTCGTAAGTACGGGTTGTTCGTAAGTCGGGCACTGCCTGTATACGCAACAAACTAGAACAGGATTGCATTTGAAGAAAGCAGTTTGTGATCAGGTGGGAATGCAAAGGGTTCCAATGCACCTATGATTTGTAGCATGTGTGGTGACATGTATGTGAGCATGCATGTGAGGATTTGTTTTCCTTGAACACTTTTGTTGCTTTTACATCAGTGGTGCTAACGTGGGTGTCTGTCCACAATAACTTTAGCATGGTTGTGACCAGACCATTTAAAAAGATAATATTAAAACAATGCTTCTTGGTATGGTGTATATTGTGTGTGAGTTGATATTTTTAGACGGCATACCAAACATGCATTCCTTTCAAAGTGAACAGGCTATGCTTTTCCCCTGCAGCCACTAGATGGTGCTGTGCAAAAAGCATGTATATGTTCTGCAGCAAAAACAGAAAGAAGAAAGAAGAAAACCATTGGGCAAGGATGCTGGAGTTGCTATAGTTCAAAAAAAAATCATTACTTTCAGCAGTCTGACAATGGTTGGCAACTAGTTGTTGTGATTGTCAAGTTCAGCAGGGCAACACTTTAAGGAATGAGCTGCTATAAGTGACACTTTAACAGGGTTATTCACTAAAGGGTGAAGAGTTTGGAGAAGGCCAGAGAAGTGAACAATCTAGGCCAAAATAGCTGATTTGTAAAAATTCTCCAATTCAGCTCACTTTCCAGTTCAGCTATGTTGTCCTAGATTGGTCACTTCTCCTGCCTTCTCCAAACTCTTCACCCTTTTGTGAATAACCCTGTAAGTTTATATTTAAAACTTAGGCAGATGTGAGCAGGTACACACATTTTAAGTACAATATATTTAGACATTCTTACAGAATGATCCAGAACATGTTCTCTACTTTTGGTGGATTCTGGATTGCTTCTTCCACTGAAAATGTAACTGCAGTAAATATGACGTCTATAAACTGAGAGCAGACATTGGATGAAGGTATCTAGGAGATATCTGCACAAAGGTTTAGCTAAGCTTCAAGACACCACACATAATATTTGTACCCGAGTCTATCCATCATAGTTAAGGTAAGGGTTGGGAGGGAGAGTAGGAGGGACAGGACTTTGAAGCTGAAATTACAATTTACACAAAAGAACACCCTGAGCACTTCAGCCACCATGGAACGCAGCTCAAGGTACAAAAAGGCACCTCTAGGTGCCTCAAGTTTATGTCTGTTCATAAACTGTATGTTTATGTTCAATTATGTTCAGTTTATAGGAAAACAACTACTTACCAATTTCATCAATGGTGAAGGTGTATTCATGATAAGTGACATCGTCACTGACAAGGCGGACATGATAAGGCACCCAAATTGATGTGTAGTTCTTACTGAAATAACATCCATTTTCACCTGCAGACACTGTGTCTGGGCAATCAGTCCAATTCAGGCCTCTGAGAAGAGAGAAGATACATAATAAGTTATTTTACAGAAAATCAAACATAAATGGAGACAATTTTTATCTTTTTGGAGGGTTAAGGCCCCTTTAAAATATAACCCCTTTGAGTAAACTCTACTAATTGAAGCAATACTTTTATCAACTATAAAGGGTCAACAGGGAAATTCACATAGCAGATACAGCTCTCCTGTCCTAGGTTTTTATTTTTCAGGCCATCCTTCTTGGTATTTGTGCCCTTGTGCTCCGGGTATAATTCTCAGCTTGCAGGTCAATGATTCTCAACTTGCATTTAGATGTAATCTGCTTGAATTTGAGATCAGTATGAGACGCTTCTGAGATCATTCACCGTTCACCGACAGATGCATTTGACTTGCAAATGACCTCTGACTTACGACTTGAATTTGACCACCTCAAGGCCCTGCTTCAAGTTGGGGTAACTAGTAGTAATTAATGACATTCAATTTGTTTTGTAATGCTGAAGATGTTTTGTAGCTTATCCAAGCCACTTTTTTAGTTCTGATGTGACAGGAAAATATCCCAGCATTTATATCCACACAGGTACTACAGCACAGACACCCTAATCCAATCATCACTGAAAGGCAGATGTTGATTGTCCAAGAACAGGATGAAAAGTTGTGGAACCAACTTGTTTTAGTTACATAATCCTATCCTTGGTGTCAAAAATGTCTGCATAGGTGTTAAACCTTCAATATATGTGGCTGAAATTTTGAATTTTGTCATATTGCCAGGGTTGATATGTCAAAATGGCATTATATGTTCAAGACAGATGGTCTCATAGACCCCAAACCTCTGTTTAGGGATGGTAGGACCAGTTTGATGTAGATGACCTTTGTTACGCCTTTTGTGAACCAGATGTCCTTCCTGTTGAAAATGTGTACCTTACTGTCCTCAAAAACGATGGGGTCTATTCACAAAACTGCCGTAGGCAGCCGAGTGAATAACCGACCCGAAGTGAAGTGTACATCTGGTGGCTTCAGGTCGGCCGAACATGCTCAGCATGTTCGCCCGACCCGAAGTGCAGAAGAAGTTCGACTCAGCCCATCCAACATCTGGATCGGCTGAGCCGAACCTCTGGCAGGCTACTGCTGCTGTCCGGCCTATTCTCATAGATGCCGAACAGCAGTGAGTGAATAGCCAAATGCCGCCTAGCGGCTGTTCTGCTCTGCACCTCAGTGGTCCTGAGCAGAATAGAAAAACAGTTAAAAAAAGAAGGTAAAAAAATAGAAAACAATTGAAATGATGGCAGATAGCAGATGAAGCAATAGGTTCTTTGCTATCTGCAAGTTGTTTTTTAGTATTCTGAAAGCTGCTGCCGTCAGAATAAAAAATAAAAAAAAGTCAGCATAGGAATGCATAGCTAGATTCCTATTGGCTATTTCAATTTGCAATATCCAATAGCAAGCTGGCTATTGCACCCGCCCTCTGCTGCGATCAATCACTAGAAGGGGACCTGATGGAAAACTTCAGGTCCCCTCTGCTGATTGACAGCAGCAGTGGGCGGGTGCAATAGCTAATTTGCTATTGCAAAGTGAAATAGCCAATAGGAATGTAGCTATGCATTCCAATGCTGTTTATTTTTTTATGACTGACGGCGCCGGTGACAACCTCGGGATCTGTACGGGCTATAGTGAATAACCGATGGGGTCCTGGGGCCGAAGCTAGCCCAAGCATCAGCTGAAGCTACGGCTAGATTATTTAGCGGCTTTGTGAATAGACCCCTATGTCTCTTTTTTATGTGTAGAAAAACTGTATTAACTTGTAGAATTTTCCCTCCTATGCTGGGCCATTTGTTTGTTTGCTTTTTTTTTTACACCACAGACTTCTTGACACCAATGATGGGATAATGTAGTAGAACAGGGTGGTCCGACAACTTTCACACCTCCCATTCTGTTCTTGGACAATTAACATTTGCCTTCCCATGAGAACTGGATTAAGGTGTCTGTGCTACCTGTGAGGATATATAAATGCTGATGTGACACTCGTCAGAACTGAAGAAGTAGCTTGAATAAGCTCCAAAACATCAACTGCTCTAAGCTGCTTTTGAAATTTCAAATGACATGGAGAGAGAAGCAGTTATAATGTGAGCAAAAGTCCTCTGACTCAGATTAATAGCCCACTGCAAGCGACATGAAGGGACAGCGATTCTTAGAAAGTGACAACAGAAAATGACTAGACAGGGCCCCGCCTTTTGAAAACCTAATTTAACCTGGCAATAGTAAATGTGAATTATGGAAAACTGAGTTAACTTTAACAGCTTAGAACAGTGTCATGTCTATGCTTATAGAAGAAAGAGTAGGTTACCAGCACTCAGATTGATTTAAATAAGTCCTTTTTTATTGGACATACGTGTCACAATAGTCAAACAGCTGTTTGACTATTGTGACACGTATGTCCAATAAAAAAGGACTTATTTAAATCAATCTGAGTGCTGGTAACCTACTCTTTCTACTTTGTGCATTACACGGTGCCATCCGTGGGAGTTACTGCAAGCACCTCATCTCTACTGGCCGGGACTGCTGAAAGGTGTGCGGAGAGCACCCTCACCAATCACAACATGTCTATGCTTATAGGAACTGGTGCCTGTTCAGAGTTTCAATCTGCCTGTCTTTTGATGGAACAATTTACAAAGCAAGAGGTGTTCTTGGTAAACTACAGCAGTTATTAATGACATCTAGCTGGTACCAAGACCCATCTACTCTACTAGGACCAGGGTTCTTGCTAATCACTTAATGGAAAGGATCTTCCTGACTTCCAGCAAAGCAGATGACATTGGTTTGGCAGCAAAGGTTTCAGATGTAGGACTATGGCATGACTCTGAGAATCCTTGTCACTTAGGGTGCCCATAGATATCAGATGACAGTGATGTGATCGGTTTATAATTCCATGTCTATTTGTTGGTGCTGTGCCTGTGTGGGATACAATAACCTGACATAATCACGACTGTCCCCCTTACACCAGCACCTACTGAACTGTCCCTTCCCCAGTGACACTACTTTGCCAAGCTTACAGGTTAACATAGAGCCACACTCTAATGTTCATGACCCTCTTTGCCTTCTAAGAAGTCTGTCAGTGTTAGCTTGTATTTATTTATGTTATTTATGTTAGGTGACAAGCTTTATGGTTTTGAGTGTGATGTTAGTAGGTAGTATTCATGAAATGTCAGCATTTATTAATACAGCAGTCTTCCTAAATATGTTCTAAGAGGAAATACATTGATTGAGATTGTCATAGAAATGTGAACGTTTAAATTAAAAGCTCAGATTACTGCATACATACTATAATGTTACAAAACAACAATCAAGTATGTCTTTAATCATTTCACAGTAACGTTGCGCAATCTTGTGCAATACTTTCATACATAGAAGAGCATAAAAGAGATACTTTACGGTTTTATATATTGCAGCTTTAACAAGCCGGTTAAGTTATGAAATTCCCCATAGGTCCAGTGGCAGGTAAAGGTTTCCAGCTGGAATGATCGGCACTCTGTAATTCTTGGCCACTCAGGAGGATCTACAAGCCACCATTAGAAGTGTTAATAAAAATAATGTTTGCGTTTTTATTTTAAAAACATTACAATCATATGCTGCTAAGCCACGAGTATGCATTACACATGAACAGTCAGATGGTTCCATTCATTAGCTAGTCAACTTATCCCGGATGGCAAGCAAGCCAATTCTACGATGGTCATTACCTTAAATTCTCTTTGTAAGTTGTTGTGTTTTTTTTGTTTGTTTTCTTTTTAAGCTGCTCTTTAACTATTTAGATATTTTCTGTCTAACCTACTTAACATAAAAGATCTCAAAATTTAAAGTGTATCTAAAGCCTTCAAGTTTTATTCCGGTGTCCCGGCTGGGTACAATGTACCCTATCTATCTGTACTGGTGACCAGTGATGGAGAATCCAGTTGTCAACAGGAGAGCAGGTGACAGGAAATCTTCCAATGCGGACACCTGTTCTGGTGACAACTCATTAAGAGGAGATTTTCCCTAACTTCACAGATTTGTATCTTTTTCCAACTTTATTAAAAACTGCAAAACATAGTTGTGGTTTTACATAAAATGTTAAGGCCCTGTTTACCCAAGCATCAATGTGGTACGCATAGAGTGTAATGCAGAAACACCATGTTGAGCAGAATTGCTCTATAAACATTAGCACAGTGTTGGTTCAGGCTGAAATACATGTGGTTTGCCGCATGTGTCTATGTTTATGCTGCTGCCATTTTTCTGAATGTCTCTACCAATCTGGCCCAGCAAAATGCTGAGGAACGCAAGACCTGTACATGGAAGCACCTGACACGCAAGTAAAAAAAATCCTGAAACGGATTGCCTGATCCCTACCTACCCTACCTAAATGTGACTACATCCAGATGATACCACACTTTACTTAAGCTCGACCTCTATTCCAATTTAAAGAAATCCTAGAAGTCTCATTAAATTTGGGAAATCTGGGAAGTATCATGATATATCTCATTTATCTTCATCAAAAACAAAAGGCTGAAGAAACAAATAGCAAGTGATATTCAAACATAAAAACGTTAAATATAATAACAAAGTATAAAATATAATACCACAATTACATGTCTTTGTCATGCTATTCTGCCATGGTCTTCCAGTACTCTCTGCCTGTTTTTGCGAGCTAGAAGTAGGTTGTTCTAAAAAAAAACAAAAAAAAAAACGAATGTCAGATATACAAACTGCTCATCAAGAATCATAACCATCAGCCCAATTAATGCCTACGACATAAACCAATCATGGCTGTCACAGCACAGTTTCAGTCAGAAATTGTCCCAAAGGGATTCATGTTTGTTCCTTTCCTCATGCTCCTGTACAGAGTACTAAAACTGTATGGTGATGCAGAATCTGGGGCCTTATCCGACTACTGCAACGTTGCAAGAGAAATAAGAGAAAGAGCTTACTGATAAAACTCAGGCTTATTACCGCCATCTAGGGATGGCAGTTAAGGTTCAGCCTCAGATGACAGGTCTGTGGACCAGCTAGTCTGAAACCCATGAAAGTAGACGCTGATGTTCTATGGTTTATATCAGCAGCTCCCTTTAGTTCCTGCCAAAGCCAACTCTTACTATAGTGAACCCCCATGTGTTTTTCTCTCCACACTTTGGGTAACGTTGTTCTTGTTGATGTGCTATGTATACATGATAAAATAGGCCATGCTTGAATTAAAAAAAAACTGGAGCCTTGCTTTGAGCTCAGTACTTCCCGAGTCACTCACCCAATGTGTATGAAAAATCAGAAGTGCTTAAAGTGGAACCATGGACAATGGCAGTCCCTCCTGTAACGTACAGTAGTTGTAGAACCCAATGTTCCTGCCACTACCCAGATAGCAAGCAATTGAGCTGCAAGTTTGAAAATGACTTGCTAAACTATTGTTAGAAGCTTCACAATTTTGTTGCACAATTACAGCAAGTCTGCATTGCAAGTCTCCAGATCAACGTGCTTTGCAAAAGTGCTGTACACTTGCAGAGCTCTTGCTAATACCTGCAGGACTCTTGCTGTAGACTTGCCAAGCAAAGTTGCTACAAATTCAAAAAGTGTCAACTAGAACTTGTGCTGCAAGTGTTTTGCAAGTCTACAACTTGCCAGGGAATGTGTGCAGCTAGTTATATAAAAAATTACAATTTAACCCTGCCACAAGTTTGTGGCAAGTTATCCTTGCTATCTGGGTATTTCCTTTAATGGAGAACTATGGGGTTGAGGCTTTTCCCCATAGTTCTCCTTAGGGTAACGGAAGGACACAAACTAGCGTCCTCCTGTCACCCTAAGCTCAGTATACCACAAACTACAGCTCACGGTATACTGAGATGCCACAGTATACCGCAAGCTACTGCTTGGGGTATACTGAGACGCCGCAGCTGAAGCGGATCCCGACAATTATGTCTGGATCCGCCCAGCTGCGTGAGTGACAGCTGGCTCTGCCTATCTAGAGGCAGAGCCAGCTGTACCCGCCCCCTCCCCCTTCCGATCTGCCAGTCAGTGCTGGTGCCGGAGCGGGGAGGGGGGAATCCAGCCCCTCCCCTTTCAAGGCAGAGAGCTGTGACAGGATCGAGAGGTGAGCGAACGCCGGTATGTGTTCGCTCACCTCCCGATCTACTGAGCCAACCTGTGACAGTCTCACTGTCACAGGTCGGCTAGAACTATGAGGAGAGTGAAAAGCACTCACCTCATAGTTCTCCTTTAAGGACCAATGTGACCAGCACAAATGGCAGTTACAGGGTTTGGAACAAACCATATTATACTACTATAGGTGCATACAACAGTCAGTTTTTGTTCATATAGTATAAACTAAAATTTTGCGCTGAAGTTGCTAGAGGGCCAGACCATTATAAATAGGGAAGCAGGTTGTTTACCACAACGGTAGAGGTGATTTTTTTCTGAAGATGTGGGTAAACAACGCGATTTAACAGCCTTTGAACATGGGATGATTGTTGGCGCTCGGAGCCATGGAGCGAGTATCAGCAAAACAGCAGAATTCGTTAATTATTCAAGAGCAGCTGTTGTTAAAGTGTTTAAAGACTGGACTGTCAGCCGAAAATCTGGGTCTGAACGTGAGAATTAATCTATATATCTATATATTATTGGGGGGGGTAGGAGAATAATGCCCGAAACAAACCTATTGTAATATCTAATTGATATTTTACCAGTTAGTCACATACATTTCTCAAGTTTTAACTGTAGATATTTGCATCTTAAATGCTGGTACACATTATATTTGGGTTTTCTAACCACAGCTTCAATAATTCAATGCATTGGCATGCTTTACTTGCGGTCTATAGGCTTGTTGAGTAGATTCTTCCTCCTTTCCTCTCTTGGTGACACTCAGTTCATTTGTTAGTGCTAAACTTCCTGTCCTTGGGGCTCATTCTGCATACATTTGTTTGGTGAATCTACTATGGAGCTACTGCTGACAGTGGATGATGCTCTCCAAACAAGGGGCAAAGGAAATTTAGCACAAAGCAACGCCCATGATCTCACCTAGACAGGAAGTGAGGGGAAATCCTCCAAACAAACAGTAATACAAAACTAACAATGGATATAACCATTGCATGCATATTCAAAATGAAAAAACAAACAAACAGTATATCATTGTTCCTGTGCCGAAGAAAACCCATCCTGCTTCCCTCAATGACTACCGCCCTGTAGCCCTGACCTCAGTAGTGATGAAGTGCTTTGAGAGACTGGTCAGAGACTTCATCATCTCTTCACTACCAGACACACTAGATCCACTACAGTTTGCTTATCGGCCAAACCGCTCAACAGATGAGGCCATTACTCATCTCCTTCACACATCACTCACTCACTCACCTGGACACTAGAAAGGGCAATTATGTCAGAATGCTGTTTGTTGACTACAGTTCAGCGTTCAACACTATAATTCCCTCCACACTCACCACCAAGCTGAAACACCTGGGACTCAGCCCATCTATGTGTCAGTGGATCTCCAACTTCCTAACTGGCAGACCACAGGCAGACATGTCTCAGCCTCCCTCACCATCAGCACTGGAGCTCCTCAGGGTTGTGTTCTGAGCCCCCTGCTGTACTCACGGTACACATATGACTGTATGGCCACTACCAACTCCACCACCATCATCAAGTTTGCTGACGACACCGGCAACAATGAGATGGCCTACTTGGAGGAGATTAGGAATCTGGAGAACTGGTGTCAGAGGAACAACCTCCTCCTTAACGTCAGCAAGACAAAGGAGTTGATAGTGGACTTCAGCAAAAAGCAGGAGAGGAACGACCAGACCCCCATGATCAACGAGAGCCCAGTGGAGAGAGTGGACAGCTTCAGATACCTCGGTGTCCACATCACGCAGGACCTGTCATGGTCCTATCACATCAACACCGTGGTGAAAAAGGCTCGGCCGCGTCTCTTCCACCTCAGACGCTTGAGAGACTTTAGACTGCCCGCTGAGGTGCTTAGGAACTTCTACTCCTGCACCATAGAGAGCATTCTGACGGGAAACACCACAACCTGGTTTGGGAACAGCACCATGCAAGACAGACGAGCTCTTCAGAGGGTGGTGCGATCAGCTGAGAGCATCATCCGTACCAAGCTCCCTGACCTGAACTCAATCTACAACAAGCGGTGCTGGACCAAGGCCAGGAAGATCGTGAAGGACCTCAGCCATCACAACAATGGACTTTTCTCTCTGTTGAGGTCAGGGAAGCGCTTCCGCTCCCTGAAGGCCAACACAGAGAGACTGAGGAAAAACTTCTTCCCGCAGGCTATACGATCTCTCAACCAGATCTCCACATAGACATACACTCTACTGACCAGACTAAGGTTTTTTTACACTTACTGCACATCTGCACTTTAAAGAATGGACAATACACTGCTGGTCATCACTTTATTTCACTCACCCCGTACTGCTGCTGTTTGCAATCGCACACTTTACACTTTACACACCAATACACTTATATAGTTGGTATTTATTTATTAAGCTGTATTTGCATTTGGATTTTAATTTTAATTTTTATATACTTATATTCTATTTTCTGCCAATGTAAATTTAAAAAAAAATGTTATATTCATATTTTATTCTTTCTCTTATC